AATAGTATATATAAAAATATAATAAAGTCTGGTTACTTTGAGTTCCCCTTCCATTTGGAACAATAATTGTGAAGCGAAAAATTACATATTTCAGGAAAAAAAAAATGTATAAGCATAATTACCTAGTTAGCTCGCAAATATCTAAAAATATACATAAGACATAATGCAGCTTCCTGGAAACAAATATATATATATATATATATATATATATACATATATATATTTTATATATATAATTTATATATACATATATATATTAACACCATCCACACAACAAAGTGAAATCAACTGAGGAAAGACATTTGGAATAGCTTTAAGATATTGTAAAAATTCAAAAGATTTCACTTGCTATATTTAAACAACTATATTGTTTTCCCACCAAAAGCAATAATTGAACTAATTGAACATTTGGAATGTTTATACTTTTAGAAATTGAGGATTAAGAGATCTCTTTCTAACATTGATCTTACTTTTTCATTGCCATGACCTCCCTGATGTCAATTTGTAGTGTCAATGTGGTGAACCCATAAGTAAGATGGAGGATGAATGCCAAAGGTGGCCCTTTGGATCTTCCAAGCAACACTTGCCCCTTCAAATCTCCAAACTCCTTGTCAAAAGATCAAGGTACAGTACCAATAACGCAAGTGTGTCCTCAACATTACACCTTGCATTTTATTTGATAATAAGGCACTACTGAATTGACTACTTGATGACGACAGTCTATCCTGCAAAGTATCTGTATAATTTGAGAGCATTTGCACAAATACCAAGATTGTGAGTATTGTTACCATTGTTATCATTATTATCCTTATCAACATGATACTACTACTGTAATAAATAATAATGATAACTATTTGTGGCATCATTGTTTGTACTAAGGTGATACTGTAGTAATATTCAAATAATAATTTCAACTTTTAAAAATTCTATTTCAAACCCAAAATATATAGCTTGTAATACACATAATTTATCTTAATTTATTTATTCATTTTTTCAACTTGTATGTATTTCCCAATATTATGTTTTTTTTTTCATTAAGCTCAATTTTGATTTTATTATCTAAGTCATTGTTTTCAAATATTTGAAATAAAGACAGAAATGGAGTATTTCATAAATGAAAGAAAGAACAATATAAACTTGTTATAGGCAAAGAATATAACTGGAACATCAGCTTTAAATTTAATGTCTATTTTCTTTTTCACCTATTTTTGGCACATACTGTAGAGATATCACTATTGCCAAAGGAATTACATTAAGCAATTATAGTCTGGTTTTGAGTACATTATACGAAATAGAAGCTGAAGGAGCCATTATCTCATGAAAAAATTGCCTGAAGTCCACAGGGCTGAAGGCAATTTTTGAAGGAAACAATGGTTCCTAAGGTTTCTATTTCCTACTTGACTGTAATTGCTTTATAAGTTAGTTGTGATGTCCATCAACCTTTATTAAAACTGCTGGTTCACCCCAGCCTTGAGATGCAACAAATCAGAGCCACTATATCGATCAGTGCTCAGTTGGGAATAGAAAGTGATGAAGCCACCACTGACTTATAATTCATTTTATTACACCTGTGTTTCTTTCAACTCCAACAGAAAGTACACTGTCAGTCATTACAGGATGGAAGGATACTCTATAAATTAAGTCTCTTTATCAGACTTGGGGAGTGGGGTTTGACATGATTAAGCCTATGACCCTGGGGACTGGAAGCAAGTATCTTAACTACCAAGTTACAGCTCCACTCCATTACGTTCTTCAATAAAGTTGGGGAAACCTATCCTATTATTATGCTAGATTTGTGAAACAGTTTCCATTTTGGTTCTTATCCTAGTGGTCAGGCACTCGAACCACACACTGACCCTTCTCATCCAGCCATGCTTCTCAGGTACCCCAGCTTAAGCTGTCAAATGGTTCAGGCTTTGCTTCAGTCATAGGTGTCAGCATTTGTTAAAAGTAACCCCTTCCCAAAAAGTGGCTTCCAAGGTCTTGATTTTGATGATTGTCTTTGAATTGACTTGATTTATTCAGTTCCACAACAATATAATATTTATATAGAGTGAACAGGCATTAAAAATACACAGTAAAAGTTAAATGGAAACCAACTGAACTTGGAAAACCAATAAAGTTTTAAATGTAAGTAAAACCTATTTCCATTTGGGTCTAGTTTGGGGTAATTGCAAATTAACTATAATCAGCAAGGAATGCTTTTCTTTAAGGTTTAGTGTTATATTTTATCCATTCAAATCAATAAATAATAACCCAGGAATGCTATTTATGGTTTAAAGTCTTTTTTATATGTTACTGACCCATAGTCAAAGTAGGACGACTCAGGAATTTATATATCATTTTATCTATTAACCTTTATTAAATTGATTTGCTTTTTAAAAAAATCCCAACCCACAATTCTTACACTTTAAATGTAGTAAAACTAAACGTAGATACATATAAATTTTACATTACAGAAAACTGCAATCTATTTTTTGTAAATGAGCCACAATCAGCAGTTTTTAATGAGCTGAAAAACATCTCCCAAACTAAAGCCATAATTATGTTTTTTTAACATTAATAAGTTGTGTGGATACATTTTTTTGTATAGGGTCAAGACAGCAGTTAATTTTAAGAGCCACCTTTTAAATTCTTAAAACCAATTACTGTACATGAAACAACAAAGAATAGTTAAAATGGACCTTTTTCGTGTATCGACTAATAAAATATATTATTAATCGTTGATTAAAGCATCAGCATAGCCCGCAAACGTAAGTTGGATTTTTTATTCACAATTTAATCCAACAGTTAAAAAATGTAAATCAGTAAATTATTGGCACAAATGATGTTCAGGTCATTCACATGACCTCAGTTCCTTAAAGTATCTGCAACATACCAAACTCACATTTCTAAAACAAACAAAACATTGAAAAACACTGCATAGAACCAACAAACAATTCTAAATGTGTTACTTATCTCCTTCCATTATTCATTAAAAGATTTGAAAAATTCTGGTAGTAATACTAACAAGGTACTGAAGCAAACACCGATGCAGACAATGAGGCACTAGCCTTTACAAGCTGCTGTTGATCTCTGTCCCATTGTTAACGTGGTTCTTTATGTCACCATTCGACTCTGGAATTTCATCAGATTCTTCGGTATCCTCATCATCACTTCGGTTATCTTTGCCTACCTACATTACAGAAAGCAAACATTATTATTATTATTCACTCAGCATTAAACTTGAGAAAAGGTAAAATAATGGAAACCCTACAAAATTCAATCAAAACATGAGTTGCTGAAAGCTGTTGGTGATGGGATGTAGCAATTGTATGGAAACCAGGCTTAAATGCACTATTCCATACCAGTGTCTGCACCTTTAATGGTTTATAGACACAATTATATACTGCATACATAGATTCTAGGCATCTGATTGGTTAACGAAGCGGGCAATAGCATATACCAATTTGAGTAAGGACAAAATGTTTGTGCCGATTTACCGTCTAGATGCATGCATAGCTATGGAAGAAACATATCGTAGTACCATTTTAAATGTCTTAGAATTACTGGCATATTTTGATTTCCTATTTATGTCCATTAAAATATAAAAAATAATTTTACAATAACACTACAAAATATTATACGAGGACGTCACACTACAAAAGCAACACATGTGAGAATTCATTATTCAAATTAGGTTAGTACAGTACACTTGTGTAAACAGTTTCATGACTCAGGACTTTCAGAGTTATGGAATCTGTTTTGGTCAAATGAAGATGTTGGTTTATTTTTGATGTTAGGTGAGGACTGTACTGACATCATACCTGTTTTCTGGAAATTTAGTAAATTATAGCACACACAATATTTGATGAATTCTGTAAATCTTATTTTAAAAGAGCATGGGCACTAAGGCCTATACTACTATTTTTTATTATTACCACCGCACTAGACCTACACATAGCCAAACACATAATGATTTAATTGTACCACCTTGGAATATCTGCCAAGGTAAAAGAACTTTTTTATATCGTGCATCAAAAAGTTGGAATGAACTTTCAAATGAAACAAAAACTAACTTTAAAGAAATGACCCTAGTTTCATTCCAACATTCTATTAATTTATAAGTTTTACATTGAATATTCTTTTGACTTTATTTTATATTATCTTCTTTCTATTTCATGGTTTGTTTGTAATTGTACCATTTTGAAAACCAGTACTAAAGTACTGAAAGTGCATGCTGTCTAAAGGAAGAATAAATAAATACTATTGTTTTAATTTGTATCCATTGTAAACAATTTAAAGTAAGTTACTGTAGTACTACATAATGTTTTATTCATTGCATACTCTATCTGCAGCTCATCATCATGATTTATGTGGCTTATTTATGTAGATAAACTATTTACATGTAGGTGCATTTATTTAATTAAATATTTCCTGGTGTCAATTTGCCTTTTTATTTTCACTTATATTTTTACTTATATTTCCTTTAGTAAATGAAGGAGGTATATTATATACCTCCTTGGTTAAAGCAGGGGTCCCAAGTCAAATTTTGGACACGTTTACTAGCTAAAACGCATGTACAATGTGTACACATTATCGCCATGTTCAATATAAAAACAAAGAGGCTTGAGCAGGTTTAGGCCACTGTTAATACCTTTTACTGCCTAGAATGTTCAATAAATCTTATGTCTGCCTTATTTAATGCATAAGAATGGCAAATTTAGCTTAGCATAAGCCCTAATTATGAAAATCTCTTAAAATCCTGGAGAAATCCAGGAGAAATTAAAATTCCGGGAGAAAATATGGAATTTCCGGGAGACCGGGATATGAAGCAAAATTCCTAGAGACTCTAGGAGACCTTAGGAGCTCTGAGTAATGCCATGTCTAAAATTTAAGACGTAGCAGCATTCAATATTATGCTTTAGAATATTATGGCAATACTTGCAGCGTTAGGCCAACTGGGCTCCACAGAATGATGATTATATAAATTATACTTCTGGGCGGATCCATATGGAATATGGTCGTCAACATCTGCACCTGCTACCAACCTTAACATGTTAAGAGTAGTTTTTAACAAAAAATTGTACAGATGTTTAGGTTAATAGTCAGAATCCTATTTTTCTTTTTTATTGGTGGGGGTCATTTATGAATATTTTTGGCTTTTCTATCAAAATATGGGAGGATGATAAGAGAGAAGACGGTTTCCCCAAGTCAATTAAACTTACGTTATTTATACAGGAGTTCTGAACCCCTTCCTGCAAATATCTGGACCCGCCCCAATACATCACAACCTCACAAAAGGCTGCCGATGCAACGCCTATAAATGTTCACTAAACATACCGGTAATGGAATAAAATATGTTAAAAAGTGACCATGTCAATCACTAAAATAAGTCAATATGCGACGAATAAGGAATGCACATTCATCACAACATTTTAGTATGTATGGTGTGATCATGGAAATATAAAATTGTATTCCTCCATGTTATAATCCATTTTTTGCTGTATTATTCTTTAGGAGTACGGTACCTTACCTGCTTTTCTCAATATTATAATCAAAATTATTGGCAGAGTTCTTTATTTAAAGGGTAATTTGTCTTTAATTTTCAAAGGTCTTTATAAAATGTAGCAGTATTCAGTATTATGGTTTAATACAGAAAAAAATTCTACTCGAATTTTGAGAAAAGTGCCTTTTACGGCCATCGAGAGGTGCCATAATCATAAATTTTCTTACCTCAGCCGCAACCATGGTGGGGCTGAGGCAGTATATACCCACCATCTATGAAAGTCCCTTTCTGGGCCCCTCTATTTTGAATTCCTGTATCCACCACTTGTTTAATATTAAGCTTGTATTATGGCAATACTGTACATGCAGTATTTGGCTGACTTGACTTCACAGACTAATTATCTAATGATAATTGGGCGGATCAAGAGAGGGTGATGTTCGGCGATGGTCTCTAATAAGATGGGAAGGGAAACAAGACAGAAGACCGTCATTTACTACAAGTAAAGTAAAGTAATATGTGGACGTGGACATGCCCTAAGTACTCTTGGTCTCACAAATGGCCTTTTTGCGAGTAAAAATAATGAATGTTCATGAGTGCAATGGGAAGAATATTTTCATAAGTGGAGCAGAGATTAATGGAACAGTCAATCTTTCAACTCATGAAAATATTCTTTAACATTGTATGAACACAAAACATTCATCAGTTGTTTTATAACACACCTAAATAGATGGGGTCGGCCTAGGCCTATCTTCCGCACAAAACCTAGGGCTAGGCTAGAAATCCACCAGCACATTTCGGAAAATAAGAGTCGAATTCCACACAGATTTTGCGCAATTTTGAGCTTGGTTTTGAAGTATCAACTTGTTTACAGTAAACAAAATCGGCAATACATTGCACACTGCTACAGTAAGACAAGTTTCAGAACTCAGCAGCACGTGTTGTCTGTCTCACTAAACTTTGTGATCATGTTTCACCTATCTTGAAAGATCTTCATTGGTTACCGATATGTAAACGCCTAAACTTCAGAATTATTCTTCTCACTCATAAATGCATATATGGCTACGCACCACACTATCTTTCTTCATCAATCTCACAACAATTATCTTTACGTTCCACAAGACAGTCAAATTCTCTCAGATTATCTGTCCCCAGAGTGCTGCATGTTCGTACTGGCGAATGGTCTTTCTCTTTTGCCGCTCCGAAATTATGGAACTCTCTTCACCTAATCTTAGATCAACTTATGATACTAATGCATTAAGACCCTCCTTAAAACCTATCTCTAATCAATAACTCTTTTATCTTTAAGCGCCAGTGACAAAAAATTATTTTTTTAACAGGCGCTATACAAGTTCTCCAATTTATTATTATTATTATTATTATTATTACAAGTTCAGCAAGAAGTAGGCCTGAGAGGTTATAGATGGCATGACATCATTTCATTGATTTGTGTTTCCTTTGCGGTTAATTCAATCATAAATACTGTTCTGACCACCTTTACAACTGGTTGCAAATGAATAAGACATAAACAAGCCAAAAATTCATTTACGGAACCGTTTTTTGTGAAATTTTATTGATTTTTAAATTTGGCTAAAGCATTTTCAATTTGGCGAAAAAAATTAATAACCTTTCGCCATTTTAACAAAAGAAAATTTCACCCTTATGGGATAGTACTTTTTTGCCCTGCCGGGCAATGCGCAATCTCAAGGCCATGTTGCTATGTAATTTTTGACACGCAAGACTTAAAGGAGATGCGAGCTCTACAACACTGAGAGAGATTGGCCCTCTGATCGCCTAATCCTACTTGGTGTGTACTATTTATTGACAAATATTGATTGCTCTAGATTGGGGGAATGGTGAAATCTCTAGCCCCTCAGTGATGTGGAGACAGTAGCCTATCTTCCCTCGGGTCTTCCGAGGGAAGATAGGCTACGGTCTTCACATCACCGAGGGGCTAGAGATTTTCCCTATGAGCAGTCAATTTTGTATACTATGCACAAATATTGACACTTCCTGTGTCTTTAATGGTTATAAATGTGACTATGCGCTATTCCATACCAGTGTCTGTGTATGGTTTATAGTAGACAATGCACTATTTCATACCAGTGTCTGTGTATGGTTTATAGTAGACTATGCACTATTTCATACCAGTGTGTGTGTCTTTAATGTTTATATATAGATGCATCTATTATATGCACTATTCCATACCAGTGTCTGTGTCTTTGTGGTTTATAAAAGTTACTATGCACTACTCCATACCAGTGGCTGTCTTTAATGGTTTATAGATGCAACTAGTGTAAGCACTATTCCATACCAGTGTCTGAATTTGTGGTTTATAGAAGTTACTATGCACTAATCCATCCAGTGGCTGTCTTTAATGGTTTATAGATGCAACTATTGTATGCACTATTCCATAAAAGTGCTGTGTCTTTGTGGTTTATAGATGTTACTATGCACTATTCCTTACCAGTGGCTGTCTTTAATGGTTTATAGATGCAACTACTGTATGCAATATTACAAACCAGTGCCTTTGTCTTTAATTATTTGTGTCTCTATGTATTACTCTAAACAACAATTATGATGAAATGAACAAAATTATTTTTTTTGTGTAATAAATCCAGTAATAGGATGCCTTACATAAGAAATAATAAAAATGAAAGAGCAGAGTATTGTATAAGGGATGCCAATTACCTTTCCCTTTATGACGGTAGAGTAGACCATACAACTAATAAGGTAGAACCAGTAAAAGTGAAGAATTTGCAAAACTACCATCAAACCATTTAAGAATATATGCGATGGAAAATAACCAACAATCTCCCGACATTCAATTATTGAACTGTAGATGATTCTAGAAAGAAAAAAATTAAATTAATTACTTGATATCACAAATTCCATAATTATTGAAATATAGGTAATAAAAAAAATCACTTAATTGACTTATTATTGCCAGTTTTATCATCATTCAAAACCCCAAATTAAATTAAATTTGCCACCTAAACGGATCATCATCATAATCATCACCATGTCATCCTCCAAGGCTACCATCCTCATCATCATCATCATCTCGCGACCGTTGTCTTCATTATCATCATCACAGCCACATCCTCACCAACATTATCAGGATTTAATATTACAATCAGCTCGCTACACTATGCAATTATAGTCAAGTTCTGATGACCCTATAAATAGAGGCTGAAGGAGCCATTATTTCCTGAAAAAACTGCCTGAAGTCCACAGGGCTGAAGGAAATTTTTGAAGGAAATAATGGCCTGTATAAAGGCTTCTACAGTATTTTCTATAGGGTCCGAAATACCTTGAGAATAATTGCTTTATTCAGTAAGTCAGTCCCCCTGTTATATATATTTAGGGGATATAATGAAACTGCATGGGCTATAAAATGAGCTCTGCTCCCCCATATTTTAGTTAAAATATTTTAATCTTTTCTTTCTTTACTGCTCTTTGCAAAATAATTCATACAAATCATTCTTCACTGTTGGTGTCAGTCAGAATTAGCACTAAGACATATTCATGGGATTGGGGGATGCCTTGTCCGTATGACTGGAAATATAACAACTTTTAGAGGTCAAAGTTCATGGGAAAGCCCTAGAGGGGTTTCCTGGGTTAAACTCAATGGTGCAGCGAGAAACCTTTGAAACATCTCAAGGTGTTTTGAGTCGTTATTTAAAAAATTATGCCCAACAATTACAACAAATACATGTTTTTCTTCTACCGCTCAGTTGAGTGGCTGAGCGGTAAGGCAGGGGCGATGCTAGGTACAACCTTAACATCGGTGCTGGTTCCAGCTGCTCCTCGTCCACGGTTCGGTTGGTAGAACCAAGTATTCTCGGATAAGGACTTAAAATGGAGGTTCTATGCACTTTAAAGAACCCATTGCATCTTTCGGAAGAGTAGGTGGTGGGGCGCCCTACCCTGATGTTACGGTTCATTTCAGCTGTGTCACTGTGGAATGCATATGAACATGTAGCTACCATAAAGGGCCTCTTTACAACTGCTAGTTAGTCAGAGACCACGCTTATACGCAATTCAGCACAATCAAGCAGCAAGGTATGGCAGTTTAGTCTGACCAATGTGGAGCGCTATGACTAGTATCAGCATCTCCTTACATACTATTTTTATTTCACTACGATCAACCATATGTTACTGATGAAAGGCTAGTGTTTAATACAAAGCTTTCTGTTTTTGCGGTAGTCAAATAAACCCAGTAAAAATGATGGAAAATCACATGCACTTTTGTTAAAATTCTGTTTCATCTGGGATATAGTTTCTCATAATGTATTAGCTGATAGACCTTGATCCAATAAATGATTTATACCAACTGGGTATAATTTAAAAGATCCTAAATTACTAGAGTGGAGTTGAATAGTTTGGTGGTTAAGATGCTTGCCTTCCAATCCCAGGGTTATACATTGAATACCTGTCAATGTTCAGATTTTTTTCTCAACCACCAAACAACTTCACTCTGTAAGCCTCATAGTGAAATTCAGCTTATGTAGAGCATCTTATCTGTGTGTTTGTCTTGTGAAAGTGATTGCCACCTATAGGTAGGATAGTGATTATGTTCGCTATTGCCAATCCTTGGTCAATGGGCCTAAATAGTTTTTTTTTAGAAAGTCAACCCCATACTGCGATTTGGTACACTCAAGTTTATCATAATTGTTGTTTCTTCTGTCTCAAAAACATCCATAACATCCACATTGTAGAAAATATGGGTTAAAAACCTTTTTTTCAAATGACAAACAGAATAATATAAGTTTACACACACCATTAGAGCTAGCCTCCACTTACCTATAGGGTAGCAGAACGATTCTTGATAAAAAGAATGTAATCGCAAATAAGGAAAAAAGAACAGTGGTTAGAGATTCTCTCTTGGCATAGTTAGACATCTTGGCTGACTGAAATATACAAAATACACATCCAATTTAAAATGTGAATAGAAAAAGCAGAATATTATTATTTTCATTAAGGATGGTAGTTATCATATTCTTTCATTTTAATCCTTTAAGTGTGAAATTAGGTCCAAGTTTGTGTATTGTTACACTGATGTGTTAACTTATACTTAGTTGCCTTGACCATAAATTTGAACACCTGAACGTTGGCATTTTGTCACAATAAAATGATTACGACTAAATGGCATTTTGCTTTTGCTTTTTGCTAACTGCAGTCATAGAAAGGTTCTTAATTTATATATTTAAGTCCAATCTTAGTTTTAATATATGTATTTAAGTATTTCCAAACAGATCTATGTGTAAATAAACATTATAGATACATAGATCATTGGTTCAAGTCCAAAATCACAGTGGTAATGGTTGACTGTGGCATTTTATTACAGATTTGTTGTTGTTACAGATATATAGATGAAACAAATTTAAAAACACAAATAATAATTTAGAAACAAACAGATAATTAAAATATTTACCTCCAGGAAGACATCTGACATGTCGTGGCAGGTGAGCACAAGACCTCCTATCCTCACAAAATTACAAACCCATGAGAAACTAATTAACATTACAGTCACAAAATGATGAATGATATTTGGTAAAAAATCCTACAAAAGAAAAAGCATGACAAAAAACATCATGATGAAAAACAATTTTTATGACAACCATAATCTTTGTCACGTCACATTTTTTTAAATATTTGAAATTTAATAGTACAATACTAGAATATTTTTAATTTTTTTGTTGTAACTTGCTACTTTTTATTGATTTTGCTGACTATATTATATCACACACATGTTGATGTTCTCTGAAGACATGATATGACTAGTTGTACAAACATGCAATACAATCGATCTTTCTGGCATGTCAATCAAACCTAGCATCTGACTAATCGGAACAAGGCTAGAAAAGCATTACTCCTACGAGCATTACAAAAAAAAAAAAAAAACCTAACCTAAAATTAATTATAGGCAACTTTCGATTGCACGACAACGGTAAAACGTAGAAAGTAATGACTACACTAAAAGTCTTCTGCGCATGCGAGAACACTAAGTTCTCCTCGCCGTGTGTATTCTAGGACACAATTTGGTGTATGCATGGAACATAGGAGGCCCGGTAGGATGGTCACGCATGAGTGATTCCATTCTAGTGTCGTCCAACAAATCGAAAGCTCCCTTATATTGTAAAATAGAGAGGCATGCAAGAATCAATATTATGTATTATTTAATATACTTATTTTTGTACTGGACTTGTTTTGCAATAAGGAAAAATTTTCATAATTGTACTTTGTATATTTATGACAATAAAGTTATCTGTCACCGTATCCTAATACTAGACCTGTGATGGATCTTTTTTTTACACATAAACATTAATCTTTGATATGTAATGATAATTATGCCCACAGAAATAGTAATTTGTGAATGGATTACTATTATTAATAAACAAATAAATAACTTACCTTCCTTTTAACATCAAATAGGACTGACAAGATAAGACACCAATGAAACACCAGCTCCATAAAGTAATAATTGTACATGAAAGGTTCTATAGGCTGTGAAAATATAATGAGTTATAACGTATTTTAGTAGAATGCCTTTTCCTAAAAAGGTGCTTTAAATACTGTGCACCTTCGAATTTGAGACAACTCCAATTCCAAGACCCCACTAATCCGAAACTACTTTTTCCAAGAACAGATAACAAATGTGAATCTTTTAACACAGTTCTTACCCTGTAAGTATGTAAAATGAGTGTACCCTCTAAGTGGAGACTAAACCTTGAGATCACCCCAAACTTTCTTCAGGTCCCAAAATGGTCTTCAATTGGAAGACGAACTGTACAAGAGTCCATTAGTGACAGATGGTACGCTACTAGACTGTCAGTTTATAATTTATGTGCAATCATCTTGTTTTATTAATTATTAAAAGATCTTTAACACTGTTAAATGGAGAGTATGCCATTGAACTATTATTATTATTATTATTATGCCAGATGAATGCAATGGGTCCAACCTGAGCAACATATTCACAACACTACTGTTGCACTGCATGGAAGAGGCTACATTCCCCCTCAGCCTCTCATTGGGGAGGTTACACAAGGTTACTGTCAACTTTTTTTTTTATTAATTAATCAAGGAGATTTGAGATTTAACAGAAAGGACACATATTTGCCATGGTCAAGACAACTGAATGTGGCTTTAATACAAAGTTTATTCAAGTATAAATTGTATCTACCAATATATCTTACATGACAGTACTTACTTTCTTGCGCTTTTACTGTATGTGTAATTATATGCATCATGCATTATTAAAATCATAAACTATGTTCCATAGGTTAATTAATTAGCGTTCCATCAATTTAAGGATTATCCAACAGCGCCATTGCTGTATCAATGAATGTAATTAATTATGCAAATTATAATTAAGTAGAGTTTGCTCTGTTTGCCCATAAGAACAGTTTTAATTCAGATAATGAAAGTTCACTTGCTCAAAAATAATTATACAAAAGATTAAGAAAAGATATCGCTAATTGTTCCATGAGAATGGGTTTTGAATATAGTAATTATGCATTGTGTATAGAATTTAATCATACAAAGACTTTCAAATATGATGCATGCTATAGTACAATACAACTACTCACTATCAATGCACATGATTATGAATAATCTCTCAATTATAGTCTATCAATAATATTTATAAACAGTTGCAGCGTAAGTAGTAGTGCATGCTACAGTAGTCTCAATACTGGCAGGATGAAGAGTTTGCATTAGTGAAATAATACAAATTTTATCTTATCCTATCTTATGAAAGAGAGGCAATACTGGCTATTCATTTATTTATTTGTTTATGCTTCTATTTATAAAAATTCTGAATATTTTATAATAACCTCAGCTGAAGGCTTAAGAGTAGAGTATTTTATTACCGGTATACATGTCTATGACTTTTAAAGTGTTAGTTATTATTGTTAATTGCCAATGGGGTGTAGAAGGCTAAAGCCTATATTAAAACCTATTTTGTACGGAATGATATTTGCAATATAGTATAAATGATGATGGCAATAATGATAATAATAATAAAAATAATAATGGCTGTGATAGTAATAACAATATAATATAATCGCAGAGCAATATTTAGGTCTACTGTGTATGCATTTCTTTTTAAATGTCTTTTACCTTATCATGAATTGTATATTTTTTTATTTCTCGATTGTTTTGATTGTATTTTTACCTTGCTGTTGTGTTTTGAAATAAAAATAATGAATGAATTAATTAATCAGTAAGTGTAAGTGTAAAGTGTAATCCATTACGTAAATGGTAGGCTTCCAGCTTTCAAATGTGTATTAAAAACCTGTAAATAAAAATGAAAATACAGGCATTCCTACTTTAACATTAAAAACACTAATGACTAGGAGATGGTTGCTGTCAATTGACCGTAGCTGGACTAAAATCCTGCAAAGTGCCATGCAATTTGCTTTCTCCGACCCTTGACCCTTGCTGGTGCAACTACTCCCCCTTACCACCACCACTAATCTCAAAATGATAGCTGCATTCATTGGTTTACGACCTTTGATAAATTTGTGGTTTTCCAATAATCAGGTGACTTTATGGCATGACTTTACAAACACTCTGTGGATTTTGGCATAATACACATCAGCTTTTTTTATGGTAATCTTAAATAGGAGGAACTGAATAGGAACTATTCTATTCAAAATGTATCGTACGATAGATCTTTTATTGCTTGTTTTTTTTATTTCTTTTGCCTAATACTGTCAACATCCCAAAAGTTAATAATAATAATAATGTTTCAATGTTAATTTTGTTCCCATTAACTTTTCTTATAGATTTAATGATATATATTTGTTGCAACATGAATTTAAGTCTAAAAAAAACAAATGGTAATAAATGTTTTGGTATTGTGGATTAAGTACAACAGAGCCTATAGTTAGCTGATGCATGGGTGGACCCGGAAGAGGTTTTTTATTAGTTTTTTGCATAATGGGCTGAATGGAGTTATTCAGCGTTAACACAAAAGATAACCCACGAAAGTCCAAAGAAGACTTATTCCAGTGGGTTCCTTCTGTTGGTGATGGGGCAGTACACCAGGCGACAGTCTTTTCTGAGGAGTGCACTACCTTCTTTAATGTGCACATGGGCCATTTTGCAGACAGCACCAACAGCTTAAATATCTCATCCAAAAGATGGTGCCTTCCAGCTGAAACACAAGTAGAGCAGCGATGGAATTGAACCGGGAACCAAGAGATCTCCACGGTTCAGCGCACACACAGAGCGGCTAAAACCACTTTAGCCGACTCAAGTACCTGCTCTCCAACTTAAGAACAATACGAAATACTAAATTATTCATGCCAAAAATTATTTAAAATAAATAAACATCTAATCTGACTAAGACGAGAGTATTTTGATAGCTTCTCGCTGACAATAATTATTACCGACCTAACAATTTACATTTATTTTGTGGCGTGTTCAGAAACCTGCTGGTAAGTCAGGGAAAAGTGGTTTTATTCATTGTTTTATACTACCAGGACCACAAAATGGGATTGAATGAGAGATAAGGGCATCCTCTATTACTTTTTACTTTACAGACTCTAATGCATTATTCATCAATAACGTTTATTTATTTACTTTATTTCAAAATGCTGATATGGTGCTCTACAAGGAACAAAGCATCTTACAAAGCTTACATTCAAAGGCAAAACAAAGTGTAATTTAACAAACAGCTCTACTCGAAGAAAAGAAAACCTTTTAAGACGACGTTTGAATAGAGTAACGCCGACTCCGCATCTAGCAAATAGGCAGGAAGTGCTTTCCAGATGCCAAGCGTCAATAGAAAAAGCAGTAGAACCAGTTTCTCCTTCGACCTTGGAACAAGAACATGGGAGGAATCATATTTTTAGTTTCTCCTTAGTTTCAAAACAGGTCTGCTCAATAAGAAGAAAGAATTTTATCTGAAGACACATACCTGAAGTCTGAACTCCTATTACTTTCTAATGTAAACACCTCCCTATCTTTATGGAAGAGGTAATTAACATATCAGAGCATGTCAGATTGTCTGGACCACTATTTGAATCACTTCTCTCAAACACATCGAGGTACAGTATTTTATTTTGTCTCCATGTTCAAAGCTTGCATTAAGTGCAGGTATTCAAACATGCTCGATCATGTATTCCCAGCAATTTAAATTTCATAACAAAAATTGTAAGCAAACATATTCATACTCATATTTGGATGTCAATTTACTCATTTAAGTGCCTTCCTTGTATTATTATATTGAATACATTATATTACTATTAATACAGATTGATCAACATGGAATTTCAGATGTTGTATAAACCCTCTAGATTACGTGTGATTGCAATACCATCTGGATGAAGGGCTACTTCTGGCGAAGACGGCAAACTTGCCATGTAGGATGTACTAATTTGTTCCTTCAGGAATGAGTTTGACTATTCATGAAACAGCGGGTGATCATGTGATAGATTTCCTTCATGTTGACTAACGGTAATCTAAGGGACGATGTCTTTATACAACCATAACAAAAATAAAAAAAGATAACTACGAATAAAACACAATATTAGCTGTATTTTGTTTACTATTAAGTATAAAGTGTGTCGTAAATATTCTTCCATCACCATTCACCCTCATGATTGATTTCCTTTGAATACTATAGGCCATTCAACAGTGACTAAATCAGTAAACAATAAGAAAGGTCCTCATAATCCATATTCCATATTATAGGATACTGAATTATAATTTTAAAACCTGCTGAATGACCTTTCATCCTACAAAGCAGATTTTGAAATTTTTTGTCGAATCAATTTTCAGATACATGTATGGGCATAAAGTTAACACAAGTTGACCTCAGACCATTTTAATAAAGTTACATAACTTCCGATCCATGTTTGTAAATTTTTTTTTTTTAATTTGGAAAATATTGATGCGGAAATGGAAAAAAAAAATGTTTGCTGTATCATTTATTTCAACAGCATAAAAAAACAGTGCAATTTTGTGGCTGGAAATACATTTTCTTTAAAAAAAACAACAATAAAATTAAACCAGTTTTTATATATTTACAATATTCTTTATATCTTTATATCTTTCATTTCAACAAACCAATTCGCAGCATATAAGCTGAATTAAATGGTGTTACAAAATGTAAAATTTACAATATATAAAAATTATTTCCAAACAAAAACAATCCCTCCCTCATCTATATATAAAAAAGCAATATTCTATTATTAATCAAGATAAAAAAAAAAAAAGAGTGATAATCTAATGATTTTTTTCTATGTTCCCTAAACACAGCCTAAGCTACCGATTGAACTACAAATTTACTAGTTTAAAAAATAGGTACCTAAAAGGTACATGTGGCTACTGAGCTCATAATAAGAAATACTGGTGTGTCACTTTTCATGAATGTTCCTTAGAGTTCCTATATAGAGAGAGTTGCGACATGAGCGGTTCAAGTCACGTGACTACTGGCCGCCCTCTATTGGCCAAGTCTGATCAAGTCAGTGGTGCGTAGCCAACAAAAATAAGAT